TGTGCTGTAGACACTGTCTAGGCTTACATGATCCTCCTGCCCCAGCTTCCTATTTCCATTGTTTTAAAACAACCTTAAATCATACATTAAATTCCTGACAGTATTTACAGCAACTTGTGGACTTTCACTGGTCCATCTATTCATGTATCAGGGCCTACCTCCTTTACCACAGTTTTATAATGCTTTAACATTTGTAGTCAGTTCTTCCTCATTCTTTATTATAGAATTTGGCTATTTGTATGACAGTTCCATGGTGCATGCTTGTAATCTCAGCTACTCAGGAGGCTGAAGCAAAAGATCACAAGTTTGAGGCCAGCTTGGGAACTTAGTGAGAACTTGCTTTAAAAAGAGGGCTGGGGACCAGAGAAGTATTTTAGTGGTAGAGCACCCCTGGGTTCAATCCCCAGCAACAGAAAATAAAAAGGATTTGACTATTATCTACTTTATATTTCCATACAAACTTTAGAAGTTGGGTGTGGTGGTGCACCCCTATAATCCCATTCAAGAGGTTGAGGCAGGAGGATTGCTGTGAATATGACGCCAGCCTGGGACACATAGTGAGTTCAAGGCCAGCCTGAACTACGTAGCAAGATCCTATCTCAAAAAACAAAAATAAAAACAAAAAAAAAAAAACCTTACAACCAAGGCTCTATACTACTAAAGTATTGAGAAATACACTTCATACAAACCATGGAAGAACCTAATAGAATATCCCCATGCAATATTTTCATATATTGTCTGACTACTAGACTTTAGTACACCATGTTCATATTGTGTTTTGAAGAATGCTAAGTAAATTCTGCCACCTTCTAACTCTTGGAGCTTCCATTGTGTGTGCTCTGATTATCCTTTATCTAACCAGGTAGTCTGCAAAGAGGGAATAACAGCTTTGTGCTTTAATAAACTAAATTACATCCAGGTTTGCTTTCTTTAGATTCTACCAGCTTCATCCAGGTTGGAATTTAGGGAGTTCTGCTAAAGGTCAGTCATTTTTTTACTGCACATCTCTTGGTTTATTCCATATATAGCTAAATACACTGCATTCATTTCTTGAGGCAGAAATCGATGGCTGATACCTATGTTAGTCAGCTTCTCACCACTGTGACAAAACACCTACCGTAAACAACTCATAAGAGGAAAGGTAATTTTGGTTCACAGTTCCAGAAGTTTCAGTCCATGGTCTGCTGGCTCCATTGCTTGTAGTCTTGTAGCAAGGCAGAATCACGCCAGGAGGGTGTGGCAGAGGAAAGCTGCTCACCTCATGGCAGCCAGGAAGCAGAATGAAGGGGAAAGAGCCGAAAAGGAAAGGGGTCAGAAACCAGACATGATGCCCCAAGTTCACACCACTTTCTTCAAATAGGCTCCCCCCCCTATTTCCATTACCTCCCAATATTGCCATCAAATTGTGCTCCCATCAGTGGATTAATCTGCTGCTCACGTGATCCAGTCCCCTCTGCAGGCCCAGCTCTGAACACTGCTGCGCGGAGGATCAAGCCCTTAATACGTGTGTCTTTAGGGGATGCTTCATATTTAAACCATAGCTTCTTAACAGCCATTCCTTCTCTTGTGCTGATAGAGCACAAGAGATTTTGTTCAGGTGTGGAATGACTGAGGGTAGGGAAAGCAAGTTTAGAGCAGTGATGGGGAACCCTTTGGAACTTTCACTGAGAACCAACAGCTGGTTGCAGCACATGTGCATAGGTTCACTGCCACTGGTTTAGGGGCTTAATTTTGTTTTTTGTTTTGTTTTGTTTTTCTGTTTTTCTTCCGGTACCAGGAATCAAACTCATGACCTTGCGCTTGCCAGGCAGGCGCTTTTGCCACTGAGCTAAATCCCCAGCCCCTAGGGCTTAATTTTGTTTTGTCCAAATTCATCTTGGTAATTCTATTCCCTCTTGCCAGTGACTGGATTAGAGATAAAGGGAGATACAGAGATAGCTACCTATTTTACAGTGAGATGTAAAAATAAATTTGTTGCGGGTGTTTCTAGGGTAGGTTTTTTCCCTGATAAAATGAAGCATGCAAGGTCAACCTTTCCTCCTTATATCAAGGGTGTGAGAATAACACCTGCAGCTGTGGAGGTCATCCTATGACCATGGAAGATAACCTGAGGGTGAAGCCAGTCTGCTGAAGGTTGGAGAGCAGAAGGAAGGAAAGATTCGGGGTCCTTAATGATGACGTTGGGCCACTTCAGGTTTAAGATGTGAGGTAATACACATCTGTATTATTTATGCCAGTTTTAGTTGGGTATTAATTGCTGCTGGCCCTCCCACCTGATACCTCATCCTCAGACCTATAGTTTCCCCTTGTTGAGAAATAGGTTCATACATGCTGCCAAGAACCAATTCCTAAATTTTCAAAAATTTTTGGAGCTACTTGACAACACAGTACCTTGAAATCAGCCATCGTGGCAATATTCCAACCCCAGAAATCAGCCTCAGAAATACTGCAAATCAGGTTTTCCCCAACCAAAAGCCAATTAAACACCTATCAATCACAAAGCTTGTTTCCTCTTGTTTTTTTTTTTTAACTGAAAAAAATGTTCCTGAAAGGCCATGCTTATTCAAAGGGCCATTGGTACATTTTAGATTTGTAGGGATAATCCACTCTCACTTTAACACACAGGTAGTGAATTTTAGCTTTGTTTTGTGTCACACACACCCCCGGCATGTAAAAGTGCACATTATTTTATGCTACATGTATGTCTAGCTGGGTACCCTTCTACTGTCTAAAGGAGTCATCATCTCTTGAGCTCCAAGATGTTGTGGTTTGTTTCTTACACTAATTTGTGTGCTTCTGATCTGTATTCAAGACCCCTTCACCCCACTTGCCTGGGGCTCCTTCACATTAGCCCACTCTAGGAAGAAGATGATTTACTATAATTTGGCCTCAAAGCATTTTCTTGCCTATTCCTAGGTAGAATTCTTACTCCACCTGCTTGAAAAGACTCAGGAGAGAACATGGGTTGTTCTTTTCTACCTGGACAGGTAGAAAGGTGGGGCTACTCTAACAAGGGAAGTGGCTTTATTCACATCCATCTTCTGCTTGGCTCCTGCATGAACTTCTTCCTTTTGGAAGAAGCAGTGTCTTTTTTTTGGCTTGCTTTCCTCCTGACTTATTTGGTCCTATCTCTTCTTCCTGTGTGGCAGTGGGGACTCAGTGGGGGTCATTCTAGCTGGAAAGGGGCAGATCCAAGGGGATGTTTTTAACCTTGTACCTTCTTTTCATGTAGCACTGACAGGCATGATCTTTATTCCACTGAATAGTTAAGGGCCATAACTCAGTGTGGGCTTGGATGGCCTTTGGCCTGTCTGGTCCTAGATTATTCTAGCCCACTTATGCAGGCAGAGGAGCTGTGTCCAGCCCACTCAGTTCCCTGCTCAACAGCTTATTTACCTCCTCATCCTCTCTAGAATGGGCCCAGTTATTTCTCTGTGAGCCTAACAGTTTGTGATCACAACTACTGTCTTATGAAATGATCTGAATTTGCTATGGACACTGGCAAGCTGCTTATAGCTTTCTAAGAGTTCCTCCAACTCCATGTGACCTTCAGTCATATACTTTTGGAGCCCCTAATGTGCCGGTGCTAGCCAGGGTGATGCGAACCTGTACTGCAAACAGTGGTGTGTTGGAAACTCACTGGTGGGTGGGACCCATGGTACATATAACATTGACTGACTTCTACAGTGTAAGTACTCCTATAGCATTGCTGACTAAAGCTACTAACCTACCATCGCTTAACATGGAACTGAGGAGATGTACATGATTGGCTCTGACTTAAGAAACCAGCAAAAGCCAGCTGCAAAACACCATTGTTTCTACATTTTTTCAAAAAGGGTTGGGCTGGGGATTTAGCTCAGTGGCACAGCGCCTGCCTGGCAAGCGCAAGGTCATGAGTTCTATTCCCGGTACCAGGGGGGAAAAAAAAAATTTTTTTTTCAAAAAGGTACCCCCTGGAGGTTAATGATGTCAGCCATATGCCCTTGCTACATGCCCCACTTCCCTACTGGATTAGTATTAGTTAAGCAGCTATACTTGTAATTCTATAGGTTGACTGCAATTTGACACATATTGTACCCACATTGTGACTTTGCTGTATGAATTACTCCTGACAAAGAGCCTCAGTGGTAACCTGCTTCAGACTGCTTCTGTCTCTCAGGAGCTATTCCTACTCCCCTTTTAACCCTTCCTAGTCTTGAAAAAAAGGTGTACCCTCTGGCTAGATGGAAGAACCAAGGAAGCTACCCTCTTTGGGAAAATAACAAAAGTCGTATCTTCTGGGCATACCTGCGCCTGTTGAGCCTCTTCCTCCACACATGATTTGTTGGGGGGAATGTGAAGTACATTTTAGGCCCATTCACCTCCTTAGCTGGTTGACATTCTGCAGTGCACAATCAGGACAGCCTTACATGGCAGTCCTGGCTCTGATTCATGACCAATATGTTAAGTAAAATGGATGAAAGAGAGGAAAAAAACCCAACTTACACAGCAGCCTGAAAACCTACTTTATGCAGATAATTACAAGATGATATTGCCATTTGGAACATTAGTTGTTCTTAAAATTAGCCTAATTAATAGAAGGCTATTACTGCTAAAAACAGCCTCTACCATTCCAAGGATAGACATAATAGTACAGCTGGAAAATCTGTGGGAAATGTGATATCTGCAACACTCCATAGAGTCCCATTTGTTAAATAAATGTATTTATCCTAAAGATTTAAATCCTCACTGTAGTGAAACACAAACATAATGTGAATATTTAAATTTAATGTAGTTTGCTGCTATTTAACAAGCAATTTCTTTGTAGCTTACCAACTACTCTGTGAAAGTTATTCTCTCCCTTTTTTACAGATGAAGAAACGGGGTTAAAATAATTTAAGGTGACTCAGAAAATGGACCCAGAACCAATTCTTCTATCTATCTGTATTATCCCCCTTTTTACTAGTGTAGGCTTATACAATATATATTTCACTATTGTAAAACAGACAATTTGAGATGCCTCTGGTAAAAGACATTTTATTTTTCATAAAAATATAATTGTACAATCCTTTTCAGAGAAAGAAAAATTCTTTCAGTGCCCCCAATACCACGTGGTTTAATAATCCTCCTTTATAAAAACAAAATATGTTATTAGTAATATGCAATTGATTTCTTGTGAAATACAGCATTTTTAAAAAAGTTTTATTTGCCTTTAACTAAAGGTGAATCCAGCTTAAACCAGTACTTTCTGTAGTTAACCAAATCAGATTTATCAGAATTCAGTGATGATACAGTAAAATGCTAAATGGTGGTGCTAAGTCCTGCCAGTTAGCTGGCAAACAGTGATATGAATTTGCTGCAGGAAGAAAGTTCTGATTTAGATATAGCAGAAAGATTTTAGATAAAATAGAAAAAAATTTAAGAACTTCCTAAAACTTGACCTGGTCAGATTTATTACATTCAGTTTCTCTAAAACATGGGAAGTTGATGCTAAAATAATAACAGACTATGAATGATCTAAATACACAAACATATTCCACCCGTTTGCTTTCTTTCTTTGGGGAAAAAAGGAAAAGAAAACATGAGTCAGAGGGCAGCCCCTTCTGAAAGCCTAGGTTCCCTCAGCACCCAGCGTCTCTCGCTGCCTTGCTGTCGTCACTGCTAAGCGAGGGGCTCCAGTGTGCTGTGTCTCAGTGATATTCATTAACATGCTTCGGAGTGGTCAAAGCGTTCAGTCAGTACCCAAAACAATCATAACATTCCTTATAAAAACCAGCGAACATTCTCTTGGTTTGATCTACTCCAAGATACCAGGTAGATTCAGGAATAAACACAAATAAATTGTAACTTATTTTCACCCAAAATTACATATCCTCTACTTGAGGACAAAGTCTTTGCTCTTGCAAGGATACGAGGGGAGAAAGAAGCAGCTCAAATGACTGTGTAACTTAGAATTATAACCAGAGAAGAAACCCTTCAAGCACAATGGAAACATTCCATTGAAGAGCCACACGCTTTTTGGAATGTTTGCTTTCAAAAGAACTCTTCTGGGGAATTCAAAAGGTATTGAACCAAAGCAACATAACGTCAGTCTTGGGTTGTTTTGCAAAATAAAAATATACAATTGAGTAGACTATGGGGCAAAAACATGCCCAATAACAATCCGGACAGCTACACTTAAAACATTTAAATTCTGAATGCCTGAATATCAATAATTATGGTCCTAAGAAGACGTTAATTAAATACCCTTGAACTCCCAATCTTCCAAAATACAGAGAAATTCAACAATTCAACAACAAGCTGGGCTAGTGACAGATCAGAAGTCACACTCAACTAGCCTGCAGATCTGAGTCTGCAGCTGAAGTACAAGAGGTCTTCAGGAACTTGGGCGATGAGGAGACACCTAATTCAAAGGCATGGCCTGAGAGAAGGGGGAAGAACCCTTCTAATCTTAAACTATGTGGTCCATCTCATGTTCCACCTCACAGACAAGCTATACTACAGTGCCTCCTCTTAACTGCCAGTTTATAACAAACTATATCTGTTTGGAAGCCAAATATTTGCTTCATTAGAGTGAAGTACAATTATAATTTAGCAGCAACAGAGAACACAACTGCTGATTTAACTATGGGAAAGGGAAGAGAGAGTGACAAAGCATCTCACTGGGGAAATGACAATATTCCCAGGTCTATCTGTATCACACGAGCTTTGTTTGTTCCTCAACCATCAGTCTGCTTGGTGGGGGGTAGACAGCAAACGCAGCTGTGATGAGAACTGCAAAGAACTACTTCGCCCTTCTACACCTCCCTGAGGCCCGCTAGCTGCAGGGCTGTGTACAACTCCAAAGCCAATACCTAGCTCCACAGTGGAGGCACAGGCTGAACCAGATGCGCACCCGCAGTGGGTTTCTTTCAGGTTTAGGACACATTCATAAGGAAATCCATGTCAGGGAAGACGTCAAGTATCTGCTAATGGCTAAAGCCACTAGTTCTGTCCATTGCTTTGCCCTTTTGTTTTGCTCTAGATCTCAAGGCAGAAACTCAATCTCAGCAGCTAGTTTCATCCTATTTCCTTCAGAAAAATTCTCCAATCTAGTAGAGTACACAAGAAAATGTGTGTGAACATTCACTCCTGTCCTCCCCATATACATATATAAATATACAACAGAAACACACAGGTACGTACACACATACTGTAGGCTGTCAATGTGATGTATGCTGTTGAAATGCCTGAAAGGTTACTTCTTGCTTAAAAACAAAATCTGACTAATTATTCTACAAGTATGGATTTGGCCCTAGCAAACTTTTATAAATATAGTTGAATAAGAAGACAGCAATAAGTTTTATGTAGAGGCTGTCTTGAGGGTTTTCTTAATGGATTTTGGTAACGTACATTTTTTAAAACAGGCATTTCGCTACGGATTAAAAAAATAGAAATGTACATATTTGTTAATACATATTCACAGCTTATGCTGGAATGGCTCACAGGAGAAATCAAGGTTCATGCAGAAAATAAACATTACTTAAGTAAATACAAACAAATAATATTAGGTCCATAAAGGCTGAGAATTTACAGTCAGTAATCAGCCCATTTGGTTTCTCTTTGTAGGGCAACCAAAAACATGAAAGGAGGAGACACCTAAACACATATACACATACAATTACATGAATTACATGTTAAGAATATAAATTAACCAATAAAGTTACGTGAAGTTAAGGTGCAAAAATACAATCTTTATCCGTTTTTCTCTACTGCTGTGCTTTCAAGCCTCACCACATATGTTATATGTCATGGACAGTATTACAGAATAGGTCTGAATGTAAAGTTTCTAAGTGCTGAAAGTTAAAGCAAGATCTCTTGTGACCTATGATCACACAGTTTGGTAGAAACTGCAGATTTTCAGAGACAGCTACTGAGCAGTAGGTAGTACATGATGCCAAGAAGCATAATAGTGCCTGTTCGTCCTTCATGGAAATTAGAATATTGGCTTCCATCACTGTTTCATCATTTCATATGATCTTCACCCTGAAAAAATAAATTCGTCATTGTAAGAATGTTTTGAAAGTCAACAAAGTTTGGTTAATCTGTTTTTAAATGCATGACTAGGGGGATAGTATCTACAGGAAGGTTATTTTTAGATTAAGGTCCAATGTCACCTCATCTAATAAAAGTTCTCAAAAAAGCAAATTCTTTCAATGACATAAAAAATTTTAAAAGATGAAATGTTGCTAACATTTTCTCTGAATTAGAGCTGGGGGAAAGAATGGCTATTATCAAGAAATCAACCAATAACAAATGCCGGGTAGGGCTGTGGGAAAAAAGGGACCCTTCTCCACTCTTGGTGGGAGTGTAGACTGGTGTAATCACCATGGAAATCAGTGTGGAGATTCCTCAAAAAACTAGGACTAGAGATCCTATTTGACCCAGTTATTCTGCTTCTTGGTATCTTCCTGAAATAATTAAAAACATTATACCACAGTGATATATGCACACCCATGTTTATAATGGCACAGTTTGTAATAGCTAAATCTTGGAAACAGCTCAAATGTCCATCAACTGGTGAATGGATAAAGAAGATGTGGGGTTTTTTTATACAATGGAGTACTACTCTGCCATAAATAAGGTAAGTGCAAGACATTTTCAGGTAAATGGCTGCACCTTTAGACCATTCTCTTAAGCGACAAAAATCAGACACACATGTACACATTGCATTGTTTTTCTGGTGTGAGAAACTAAAAGTGTAAGTGAGGACCAAAGTGTATAATAAGTATTGTGAAATAGGAAGAAAATGTTCAAATGGGGAGGGGAACAAGGGAGGAGGGAAAGGGAAAGGAAAAGAAGGACAAATGGAAACAAAGCTTTTGTAAATGGGGAGGGGAATGGAAAAAAAGAAACAAGTTATGTCATGTACAGGTACAAATTCTCCATGATGAATGTGATCATTATATATATCTAAAATATAACAATAGAATCTGATTAGAGGGGAAAAAAGGAATTAGGGTGGGAGAGGTAGCTCAGTGGTAAAGTGTTTAACTAGCATGTGGAGACCCTGGGTTTGCTCCCCATCGTCACCAAAAAAAAAAAAAAAATCCCAGAGCAGACATTTCCTTCAAATTATTTCAAGTTCTACAGAGTAATCACAATCAGGAAGAAAACACCTAACGTCTTCATTCTAAAATCTTTACAGTTTCTTCAACAAATGGTGCTAGGACAACTGAATATCCATATGTACAATACATAGAACCTGACCTCACACCATAAGGAAAATATACTTCGAACGGTTAACAATCTAAACAGAAGAATAAAGCCATAAATTCTTAGCCAAAAATGTAGGGGTAAATCTTTACAACCTTGGACTTGGCAGTAGCTACAACAGCAAAAAGCATAAGCCACAAAGGAAAAGAAAAGATAAACGACTTGATCAGAATTGAAATATTTTGTGTATCAAAGAACACTATCAAGAAAGTGGAAAGACTGCTTAGAGTTTAAATAATGGGAGAAGCTATTCTGCAGATCAAGTGGTTAATAAAGTCTACCATCCAGAGTAAGTAAAGAAGTCTTAAAAATCAGCAAAACAAAAAACAACCAAATTAACATACTGACAGACATTTCTCAAAAAAAAGATACACAAATGGCCAATAAGCACATGAAAAGATGCCCATAGCCATTAGTTATTAGGGAAATGCAATAAAAAACCACAATAGAATACTACTTCATATACACTAGTTTGGTTATAGTTTTGAAAAAATGAGGGCAGATGTGGTATTACATGCCTATAGTCTTAGCTACACAAGAGACTGATGTAGAAGGATCACTTGAGCCCAGGAGCTAAGGGTCAGCATGGGCCATATAACAGGACTGTATCTCTTGAATGAATGAATGAATATAACAAGTGCAAATGAGATGTGGAGAGATTGCAACAGTCATACATGGCTGGTAGGAATGCGAATGTTTTGGTCATGGTGGAAAACAGTTTGGCAGTTCTTCAAAAAGTTCCACGTAGAATTTCCATATAGCCCAGCAATTTGATTCCTAGGTATATACTCAAAAGAACTGAAACGTACATGTTCATAGCAATAGTGTTCACAATAGTCAAATGTCCATTAATGGACGAATGAATAAACAACTGTGGTATTTGACCATAAAGAGAAAGGAAATAATGATACGTGCTATAACGTGGATGAACCTTGAAAACATGGTTCTAGAAAAAACCAGACACAAAAAGTCACATAACATATAATTGCATTTATATGAAATACCTATAGGAGGTAAATCCATAGAGACAGAAAGCGGATTCATAGTTGCAAGAGGTTAGGGAAGAGGGAGTAAAGGGAAGATCTGCATAATAGGTTTAGGCTCTCTCTGGGGGTGATGAAATATCATATAACTAGACAATACAATGTTGTGAGTATATGAAATGGTTCTGAATTGTTACTTTACAATTTTTTAATGGTTAATTTTATGTTATATGAATTTCACCTCAAAAAAAAAATCCTGGGCAGGGGATGTGGCTTAGTGGGATAGCATTTGCTTAATGTCTTGGGATTGACCCATACACAAAACAAAACAAAATAAAATAAAACAAAACAACCAACTTAAAGTGATGGACTACTGTACTAGAGAAAGCCTGCTCTGGTGAGAACTACCACTAAAGCTGTGTGACTCTGGGCACCTTATCCAGCCCCTCTGCTACTTTTCAAGTATCAAATCAGAACTATACCTTTTTTTCTTTTGGTGCAGGGGATTGAAGCCAGGGCATCACACATGCAAATTATGTTTTATCACTGAGCTAACCCCCCAGCCCAGGAAGTACAGTTCTTTAATACAATTATTGGAGTAAATATTTAAGATAAATGTAAGTGAAAGTACTTTGTAAGCTGTAAATAAAAATTCAAGTAGAAGTTAGTATTATTAACAATAACTAGATCAGTGCCATTCCCACTATCTACTTTTAAAACTTCCATAAATTTACAGAGCCCATATACAATGCATTTCAGTATTTGGAATCTTATACCACTTCACTTGCTCATAAGTGTATTACAAACAACACTGACAGCTAATTGTATTTAAAGACATACAAACAAACGGTCATTAGAAGCCCTACCTGGAGACATCTCTTAAGCATAGCCTCCCACAGACTGTACTCACAGGAGTTGCTGTTAGCATCTGGCTTCCCAGGTTTGCTATGCCTGGTTGAGTTCTGTTGAGATTTGTTCTGCTCTTCTCCAGTAAGGAGGGCCTTAATTTCAGAAGGAATTTTTCCTTGGTCCATTGCCATGCACCACTGCTTGTACTGAAATATGTAAAATACATGTAAGTAAAAATGTTAATAGAGTTTAGGGAACACTGGTAGAAATCCTAGACATGACTAGCGCTCAGTGGGCTGCTAAGAATTGCACACTCCATGGTATGACCTATTTACCACCTAGGACTTGCATGAGATCTGCTCTCTTTCAGACGGCTGGAAAAACTGCTGCTGAACCTTTTTGTGATGTAGTAGAGTTTTGGTCAGATTAAAGAGGCCCCATTAATTAGAATTTATCTCATTTTTATAACTGTCACAGTATTATTTCTACTTCCAAAATAAAGAAATTTTAGTAATTTCCATTCTCCCTTTCACAAACATTCACTCAGCATCTACTGGACAGTACATATATACACTACTGTTAGGTGTATGATAGAGATACTGTACTATGGGACTTGGAAAAAATACAAGATAAAGTAGACCAAAGATTCTGCCAAGTGGCTTATACTGCAGAAGGTAAGAAATCATTTATAATCCCAGCACTCGGGAGGCTGAGGCAGGAAGATCACTGCAAGTTCGAGGCCAGCCTGGGCTACGAGGCAAGACCCTGTCTCAAAGAAACAACAAAAAATTTAAATCATAGGACAAATTCAACTAAAAAATCATCTCTATACTATATATCTAGATAATATGTATATATATATTATATATATATATACACACACACACACACACACACACACACACAGTTCACATCCTTCTTTATGTCCCCTCCTATTTTCTTACTTTCTAAAAATTTGAGGTCATCAGTTTTGAAATGATTTGTAATGATCATGGTAGTACCATCTCTTTCTCCCATCTCTCACCTCCTTCCTGAGCTTATAACAGGGGAGTTTTAATTCTGTTTTATCTACTCTTTTGTATATTTCTCAGCCACGACCCAAAGTTTGAATGAACAAATTAATAAAACATGGAAAATAAATAAGTTCATTTAAAGCAGACGGCATCACACCGTGGACAGTTACAGTACTGCTACGCTGCTTTATTCACTTAAAGAGTACATTATGAACATCTTTATCAGTAGGTACTATATGTATGTGCACTATGATTTTACTGACGACAAACAAGTACAATTGTATGAATAGAGTATAATTTAGTCATCTCCCATCGTTGCATCATCCGGGTTATTCTCCATTTCTTCTATCTTAAAGACTTCCCTCAATGAAAGTCATGTCCACTCTGCTCTTACCTTTTGGTACATATGAAAATGTCTTTGCCTACATCCTGGCTAACGGATTAATATTCTTTCCATTGTTTGCCAACTGGATAGCTGAAAAGTGATATCTTTATGTTTTAATGTGCATTTCTTTGCTAAATGGAGATTGATTTTTTCATGCATTTACTGAAAGAATTTACCATTTCCAGTTCCTCTCTGAGGGCACATATGGCTCTTTCCCGACTGGATACCAACTCTTCCAAATACTGGTATCTCAGCTTTTTTCTGGCTCGGCATTCTCTCGCACTTTGCCGGCTTCTCTCAAGTTTTGCTTTCAAGTCAATTTTGGCTGGCTTCCGACCACGTTTGCCAGGCTTCTTTACTTTGCCTCCACCCACCTTCAGTAGGAGAAAAAAGGAATTATTTTTTTTCTTAGATTGCTACATAGTAAAGTGACTATTACTGCATGTTAGCAAAGGGAACATTTACAAATTATAAATAAGCGAAGGCTCTGGAACTAAGAAAGCATAATCCCATCCAATGCCTTCTGGATGTTTGCTTTGTTTTTTTCCTGATCCTTCCAATACTACCAATATAAAAGAAGACATATAATAAAGTTTCTATTACATATTCAATAATACAGTTTGCATAGTTTAACAGTAAACTTTATAAATCATATGGAAATGAGTAATAAAAAACTAGAAGATCAGCACTAAATGTTTGTTCATGAAGAATCTTTTATTGCCTTGAGAAACTAATTACAGTGAACTACGTTAAAAATCAACATTCAAAATTGTAACTTCATTATACTCTCAATGTAATAAAACAATACCTAGAAGAAAGGAAGTTAACCAGATCCATGAGAAGCTCTCTCAGAGGTGTGATTATAAACAGCTTTTGGCGGGCTAGGGAGGTCTAATTTGGTGCTACAGCATTAACCTAACATGCATGGGACCCTATGTGTGATTCCCTATGTTGCCCAGACTGGCCTTGAACTATGAAGCTCAAGCAATCATCCCACTTCAACCTCCCTCATAGCTAGGATTACAGGCATATGATTTTTAAATATTTACAATTACAAAAATATATCTAACATATATTACGATTATATCTACATAATAAATATTCTAAACAATTTAGCTATAAATTTCCTCGTAGAGTTTTTTGTTTTGTTTTGTTTTGTTTTGTTTTTTTGAGACAAGGTTTCACTATGCAGTTCGGGTTGGCCTTGTAGTGTAGGCTGGCCTCAAACTCATAGTGATTGCCCTGCCTCAGCCTCTCAAGTACTGGGATAACAGGTGTGTGCCATTACGCCCGGCACCTCTTTAAGGGTTCTTGAACCCAAAGGAATATACAGGAAGTCCTTGAAAGCTTCAAGATAATTCTCTCCTGCCTTTCAAAGCCCATAATTATAATCCTAATCCTGTCTCAGATTTCTGTGTGCTTCTACTGGAGGCACAAGAACATCCTCTCAGTATTGGTTATTCACTCACCTGACTAGGCACAATATTAGGTGATTAGCAAAGTAACTTAATCTTCCCCACTGTTTAGCTGTCAAATCTTCCCCCACTTTTTATACAAGATGTAACTATAAAGATGATGAATTTTTAAAAACATGAACTTGAATTTACACATTAGATAAATGTTTTCTAAAGAAGTCACCATGCAAAGACATACACTTATTTTAATAGTAACACTGTTGCAACCTTTTTTGGAAAGTACTGTTGGAGCCAGGTTTTACAAGCTATGACACAGTATGTCTCACTACATTAGATCTAGGCATTTTCCTTAAATTCCCAAACAATGTGATTATCCATTCTGCTTATTTGGCAAAGTTCCAAATGATGCCTAACTTTTTCTAGAAGTCACCCTCAAAGAAAGGCTGGCTTGTAGCTGCATGGTAGAGCACAAGCTTAGCATTTATGAGGACCTTCATTCCATCCTCAGAACAACAACAAAAATCAGGGGACTAGGTTGTAGCTCATTGGTACATTATTTGCCTAGCATACTAGGCCCAAGACACAATCCTCAGCCCTGAAAAAAAAATCCAACAATAAATAAAGATAGGAGACTAAACTAATGGAAACTTAAGTAATCCTAGTATTTGAGAGGCTGAGGCAAGAGGATCATGAGTTCAAGACCAGCCTGGGCTATATAGTGAATCCAAGGCTGGCCTGAACTACATAGAGAAATTCTGTCTCAAAAAAACCCTTCAGAGAGTACAAGTTTTACACCTTCAGTATACCAATAGGAATACTTCTAAGACCTAAAGGCATTTATAAAGAAGATGCAACGCCCTAAGATGAAGGTAAACATTATGTACTACTAATAAAATAAGTTTTTTAAAATCATACCTCCCCCCGCAAAAAAAGCCAGGTGTGGTGGTGCCTGCCTATAATCCCAGAACTCAGGAAGCTGAGGCAGAAGGATCACTGTGACTTTGAGTTCAAGACCAGGCTGAGCTATGTAGTAAGTTCAAGGCCAGCCTGAACTACATAGCAAGACCTTGTCTCAGAAAAAAAATAAATAAATAAATAAATATATATATGCACACACAAAAATTAGAGTCATGCAAAGATTACATTTTCACATGTGAAGTGGCAAAGACTTAAAAAGTGATAACCCTGTGCCAACATTGCTGGTGGAATGTAAACTCTTATAGTCAGTCATCTTTGTGCAGTACTTTGGCCACAGCTATCACAATGACAAAAGCCCGTATCATCTCTTTTAACAGAATTTTACCTCTAAGGATTTATTCCACAGATACACTGGCACATGTGGAAGGTGACAGAAGTGCTTATCCACTGCTGCATTACTTGTGATAGCAAAAGGCTAAAACATCCAAATAAGGGAGTTGCTTGAATAAATTGTGGTGTACCAGTTTGTAGTAGAAAATAATTTTTTTTGAAAAGGAGAAAAAGCAAAATTCAAATGCTGGCAAATTACTAAAATAAACCTAGAAATCTTGTAACAAAACTCAAAGAGTCAATTTCACTTGGATCTAAAAATTGACTTGTACTTGTTTGTTTAATAACTATTAATATACATCAACAATGCAAAGTACGCTTCTAAAGATAAAATAATTACTAAGTATAATGGTTAAGTAAAAAAAAAAAAAGCCCAAATTTTCCTTCCTCCCTTGTCTTTTCTTTCTCTTGCCAGGAATTGAGCCAAGAGGCTTACACAGACTAGATCAGTATTGTACACTAAAAAAGCCAGACTTTAAAGATGAACCAGCCACATCTGCCAACCCCATTCATACCCTGATGGCTTACCACTGCATCCAGCACTGTACAGGTGGCTGTGAGATGAGAAAGATTAAGGCTCTGAGGGGGGCGCCAGCAGGAGAGGGGTGTTCTTTCCACCAGCATCTTAAAATCTAGCTATTTCACTATTATCGCCAAGTAAGTTTCAACATTCCAAAATCTTTTCCATGCTGCATCATCGTGCTTTTATTCCAATATAAGAATACATAGTCTTCAGGAAACCTTAGATTCAACTGTTTGATAGCAATTGCAGGATGGTCTTTACCCAAATCTTCCTAACTGAAAAATTTTAAATTATGCTTATATCTCATCAATAGCATCATAGTATTTTGAAGTTACCCTGCATTAAATTTACTATTGCTACAGTTTAATATATTACAAAGTCCTGGGAATGTGGCTTAGCAGTACAGCACTTGGCTAAATTTATGAGGCCCTGGGTTCAATACCTAGCACTACAAAAAACAAAACAAAACAATATATTATAATATAAACTCATGTCTATTGTGAAATAAATGGATAGGATGACAGCTATTCTCTATGCAGTAAAATGAGTCATCAATCACACAATACTGTAATCCAGTACCTCATGTATTGCTGTTTTTAATTAATTCAGGAGTGGCTGCCTTTGAGAAGACAGTAAAAGAACACAGTGTGCTTCGCAGACTGCTTTGATTTTTGAAACAAATCTAGTAGTCATAAAAATCAAACAAAAGTTATAACCCTTTGTTTACTTTTTATGGTAGCAAAATATTTGAACTGGAACTATTTTATTCCTTTTTTAAATTAGAAAGGCATAGTAAATGAATCCCGGGTTCCTATATATCACCACCTAAAAAATTATATTAAAAAAATAACCACACTTCTCTAGCTCAATTTTTCTTTAGTAATAGGTTGAATATTTTGCTTTTGGCACCAAGTAAAGTATGAGTTGTTTTGTTGTGGGTTTGTGTGTATGTGTGTGTGTGTGTGTGTGTTTGAGTGTGTGTGTGTGTGTGTGTGTGTGTGTGTGCATGTGCTTTTTCTTGAGATGGAGTCGTGCCAAGTAGTTCAGACTGGTCTTGGACTCATTATGTAGCTCAAACTGCCCATGGCTTGCAGCAGTCCTCCTGCCTCAGCCTCCTGAGTGCTGGGATTACAGGCGTGCGCCACCACACCTGGCTGTTGCCCATTAAAGTCTGATAAGTGTACCAGTTTTCAAGAAAGTCATGTGTATCAGAGGATTATTGTAAATCTTGAGTGCAAAAGTCATAAAAGAGCACTCTATAAAGAAAAATATATTAGACACAGGGTAGTATACTAGATGCCTGAACGCCTGAACTTTTATGTGCTTCCTAACACATGAAGAATGAGAAATGGAGAGGGGAACCAAGAACCAGAAGCTCAAACTGAAATCAACTCCACGAATTCCTTAAATATCTCCGGGCTAAAAAACATTCTTCCCAGTTCACAAGATTTTCACAAACTCCTATGTAACCACATCATTTCCTGGCTCTCTCCTCATATTTATTTTGTGAGGAAGCATTTTAACATGGCTAAGTGACAGTACTGACTTTCATGCACCAACAGAAACGCTAAAGAAAACTAGGAAAGTAACTCAAATATTGAGCTTTTTCTTGTTCTAATTTTACTTATTTCTGTTGACACAAAGCCATGTGAAAATTTAAGTAGCGAGCTTTAAAACAGAGTGTACTCTTTGCCCACTCTCCATTTTACTTCTTTTTCCACCCCAGAACACATTTGTGAGCTAAGCACAGCAGGCCCTAAGGGACACTCTCCAGGACCTATCCGCTACCACCAAGGAAAGAAACTTGCCAGCCACTGACTGTTTCTTACCTTCCAGAGAACTTCTTTCATAAAGGAAGAACATTAAACTTCAGATCTCAGTAGAGCTTATCCAATGCTATCTTCATTACTATGTCAAAATGTTAGAAGCTACTGATTATAAGCAAATGAAAATAAAGACACTAGTACTTTTCTGTTAAATACCTGTTTATAACATTTTCTCGAAGAAGCTAAAACTAAATGTCATGACTTTTAGAAAGTAAACCCCTGAAAGAGTGTTATATAAATCTTAGTATAGGGGGCTGGGGATGTAGCTCAGTGGCACAGCACCTGCCTGGTAAGCGCAAGGT